CGTTGTAAGTCGAATAACGTAAGAAGATTTTTTCAGGGTATTTTTCAGCGATAAAGGCGTATGTTTTTACATGTTAAAAATATTACATGTTAAAACATTTTTTTACATGTTAAAACGATTCCTTAGATTTTGTATTTTACTCTCTTCGATTTAAACATTCAAGTTTAAATATTTAATTTTATTAAAGAAAAATAAATTTGAAAGATTGAAATGAATGAAGAAGATTTATTTATCAAATAATCAGATTTAATCTTACAGTTTTTAAAATTAACATTTGTAATGTTCAATTCACAAAAACTTCTAAATTCTGCATCGTTTATAATTCATTCACTTTAATAATTTAATTAATAAATGAAATTTAGCTCAGAATAAATTTAATATAAAATGAGATTTAAAAATCTATACGTAAAAAGAAATGTGGACTATTTATTCAAAAGTATAAAATCTATTTCGTGAGATCGTCGTACACGACGTATACGATTGTAAAATGAAGAAAATAGCGACATGGCTGTTGTATTGAAATCCCGCTATCGAAGAAGAAACAAAAACGCTATCGCACTTGGTGCCCTACCGACGGCAATAAAAACGATCTCCACGTGTCGACCTACGCGCTTGCGGACACGATTTTATAGTGTCATTACCGTAAATTTCGCGCTCCGCGTGAATCGCACGGTGAATCGACCGCTACAGATAAATAATGGAGAAACTAGAAATTCGAATAAAGCGAGAACGCGTGTTAAACCGTGCGTCCCTCGCGATGATGATCGCGTGAGCGTATCGCTGTCGATTAGCGCCTCTCTTTGGCGCCGTAGTAAAATTTTCTCGAGCGACTAATTCGAAAATCGATACGGCGCCGCGGGTGAGATGCGTGGCGTTCCCTGGGATGCGTGCCCGTGCGTATCCTGTTCCGTGTAGAAGCTGAGACACGCGCCCGTTGGATACGCACCTCTCGCGTCATATCAGCGGATGCCAGTGGCGTAGCGCAGTGTTTTCTACGCTTTTTTCCTCAAGTATTCGATGTAATGAGAATTTCTGATTGAAAATGAACGAACCAGAAAATTCTGATTACATCAATCAGAATTCTGATTAGCTCAACTAGAATTATGATAGGCGTATAATAGAAAATTTTCATTTGTCCATTTTCAACTAGAATTCTAATTAATATAACCAGACCTTTTTCTAGTGTACATTTGTCTCAGATGTTTTCATGAAAATTTGTGCGATTTTGTCGAAACAGAAAATAATCGACAAATTAATATAATTTGAATCATTATCTATAATATTTTTAAAAATATAAGGATTTAATATCATGGTTATCAAAAGTATAATTATTACCGGTGTTGGTGTTGATATAAACATGAATTTAACTTTCGATTAGAGCAACGGGTTATTTGGATAAAAAAACTTTTTGTACGATTGGTACTATGAGGTTCTAAATTATAAATAAAAAAACTTCTCTTCTATACTGGAAGAATGTTATCCTCAACAGCATTATTCTAATTGAAAATAATTTCATTAATTCATTAA